GTTTCTTGGACTCCTCAGGCTCAAGGAAGGTTGTCCTTGACCAATGCTAACTTCCTATCCAATTAGCAGCTCCTATCACTGTGTGGTGAATGATCACCAAGTGGTTAAACTCTTAGGGGGCACTTCTTGAAGCATGGGAATCAGACTTCACCTGGACACTTGCTTCTTGGTGTGTGCATAGAACTTGAACATTACCCTGGTCAATGGTGACTTCCTCTCTGCATGTGTAGATACTTGAACATGTAGAAATGTTGGCTTTTCAAGGTGCACAGGTAGAATGAACAAACATAACAAATGTTGACTTGGGGACTTAGTGTGCTTTGTAAGCTTGAATGTAAACCAATGGGCATTTGCTTGGTGTGGAGTCACATAAGGCAAATATAGGCAATGAGGGCAAATACAATATGACAGAAAAACTCAAATTGATATTTTGACCAGAGAACCCCCCTCACACTTGTACAGGAATTCATGAATGCCACACCCCATATACGAGCTAGATATTTTACAGATCTATACAGAAGGAGCTCTAGCACAATAATAAGTTACTACTATTAGAACAAGTTTAAATACGGAGATGCAGTGAGCAATCTCAAAAAGATCGCTCGATTTGACGTTAAAAGTTAAACTGATGAGTAGTGGATACTGCAGGGATTGATCCTGCGACCTCCTCAAAGCGTCTCATGAAATGAGCGTGCAAATGAGGCGCGCTACCACTGCGCTAAGTACCCGAGCATAAATTCAAACCCTAATGCTATCTCCAGTAGCCATAAACTCACCACATACCCTTCTCAGTCTAGCTACATCACACCTGACACTAGCAGATCACCATAACCATAGCTACTACGCGTTGACTACCTTGGCCACCGTCACCCCTTCATCCAATTCGACCTTCTTAGTAGGCGGACCCTCTGAATCTTTCCCTTCTACTATGGCGGTCAGGCTGGGTTGATTACCGGAGGAAGCGACAGGAACATGCGGTTGGGAAGGATGAGATGTCTGCAGAGTTACATATGGAGGGTGATGTGGTGGCTGGCCAGCAGAACCTTGCGGAACGTGCATCCATGGTTGAGGGAAGTGTCCACCAGGTTGTGAGGCATGCACTCCAGGATGAGGCCAAGCTCCCGAGTAAGTGAATGGATTATGATACGCCCCATAGTACCCATAAGGCGGAGGCATAGGTAGCGAATGCGTCGGGGCGCCATGTGGTCCAGGCGGAGGTATCAACGGATATGCCGGACTTGGAGTGACTGGTTGCGGTGGGGCGGATGAAGGAGTGGATTGGTAGGCGGGTCCCGCTGATGCAGACGCGAGGTTAGCGATGGCCAAGATGGACGCGGAATCCAATTGCTGCGATGGCGCTGCTGGAGTAGATGCTGGAGAACTATCTATAATATCTCCACCAGCGGGCTTCGTCGGTTCCAACGATCCTACCTTTATACCTTTCCCGCCGACCTTTCCTTTCCCTTTGATCTTGCCCTTCTTCACGATCTGCTCCTTGACGAAGTTCTTCGTGTAACCGGTAAGGATTTCCAGAGCCTTGGCGGCTTTCAACTTCTGGAGCTCGTCGAGTTGTTCCTTGGTAAGCCCAGCGAAGATTGTGGGGTTGAGGATCAGGGAGCCGTTGTGGAGTGTGATCGGTGGCCCGTCTACATAGGATGACGGTGAATCCGAGGGGGCTCCGGGAGGTACCGGACCAACAGTAATAGACAGGCAGACGTCGGATAAGGCTGGGGGAAACGCAGGCTGGCCGATGGATGAGGAAGGTGGGGGAACAGCAAGGGATGGATGGATGGGTAATGAAGGTGGATGTGTCGGTGGAGGTGGTGGGAACGCTGGTGCGCTTGGCGGACCAGGGTGCGTAGTCGTTAGAACCGGAATGGGCGTAGAAGGCGGGTGCATTATCATGGGCGGCGGTGCCATATGCTGGGGGTGTGGGTGGGGATGGGGATGGTGCCCGGTGTTCATCATCATCCCAACTGGAGGTGGTGGTTGAATGCCCATACCTCTCGGCGCCATCATAGGCACAGGCATGACAAGTTTTAACGTGGGGGCACCGATTCCGCCCACCACCATCGGTTTCAACGATAATTCCACAGTTGGTACCTGCGGCATAGCCCCACCGCTCGTGCCTGGACCCCTCGGCTTCTGCTGCAACTTCGCCCTAGATCCGGCTTCGGTAATCTCGCGCTCCTTTTCTGCAAATGACTCCTCCGCCTTGGGATCGATACTCCAAAAGAAGCCTTTAGTCTTCTTCTGTTGGCCCGTAGCTTGTACAATTGCTTCGACCTCATTGTCTCGTCGAGATTTGACGAAGCCCGGATTGGATGAGAGATTATGCCGCACAGATGACTGATAAAAAAGAATGGATACCATCAACAACACAAGTGGCTACTCGATCCCAAACATTGGTACAAACCTCCCAACCGCACTCATCATTCCACCTATACCATTCAAATTTATCTCGAATCCAGTTCACGATCTCACTTAGGCTCGCCTTGCCACCGAGCTCATTGATCGCACGGTAGCAGAGGACGGCGTAGGTGTACGGCGGTTTCGGAGGCATCTGGTCCGGTGGTGGCCGTGGAGCCTGCTGCAGCTGTGTCTTAGCGATAAGCCGTTGGGTCATGTACTTCTTCGGCTGACGAGGCTGCGACGGATCTTGCGGTTCTTCGACAACCATCTTCTTCGATGTGAGAGGGCGCATGGGTGCTGGCGGCTTGGAGTTGGAAGCTGAGGCTGATACGGATGGCGGAGCGAGTAAACCTTTTATAGGTTTCTTAAGGAGTCTACCCTTCCCTGCTTTGTTCGGTGCTTTGGACCGGGGTGCTTTCTTCGGTACTTTCCCTGGTGCTTTCCCTCTGCCATCCGCTTTGGGATCGTCGTAGTCTGAAGGAGGACCCATAGCCTCAAGCTCGTCGAGATCATCCTGCTCAAGGTCATTGATCGATACAAGTTGATCGTCATCAGAATCGCCGTCTGCAGCAGCAGGGAGTGATGATCTGGGTTCATTCAGCGAGTGTGAAGGGCTTGCGATAGGCAAAGAAGGTATTGGACGTTCGGGTGTTGAAGGAAGTTTGGGAGCAGATGCCGGAGGTTTGCGTCGACGGGGTACAGGTGGTGATTGGGAACGCGACACAGAATGGGAGAGCCGGCGTCTCTTCCGCGACGGTGCGGACGAGGACGACGAATTTCCAAGATCTTTATGTGTTGATGGGGAGGGCGGTTGCAATGGATCGTCGGCTGATGTTGGGTCAACATCGGCCTCTGGTGTTGTATCTGGCGTGACGGGGATAGGTTGCGCCGACGGCGGTAGCTCGAAGTAGAAAGTCCTGGTAGCGATTTGTATCTGCGTTCTGAGTAAAGCTACAGATCAGTTATTGACCGGGTAAAATCCAAGAAATAATGGGCGTGTGTAGCTTACCTAGCGCCCAACGCGACTCTTCCACCGCATCCCACCCATGCGCCATCGACCCATGCACCATTCCTGCCATTAACGTAAAGAACAAATTTGTCGATAGAGTCGTCGTAGTCGATGCGGGCGTGTAAGCGTGATATACTCTTGAGCGGCCCCAAATCAACATCGATATGCGGAAACGCAGAGGAAGCAAGGGACCTGCGACTGTGCCGAGATGGACGACTGGATGATGAAGATGGATGCGGTGACGGCGGCGGTGGTGCTTCCTCGACTTTATCGGCTATCGCTGGTATTCCTCTCGCAAGAGTTTGAAGGCATTCAAGGGCGACCTCCTCAGAGTTCGGAATCTGGTCCTGGTCAGCCTCGGGTTTAACGACGGCTGGTTCATTATGTTCGACGGATTGGGCAGAATCCAAAGACGGATTTGGGGGAGGATCAGTGGGACGGCGACCGATGGTAACGGAGAGAGTTTGGAGATAGTATTCAAAGTTGGGGAAGGTGAGCTTGTAGTAGGCCTGTATGGGTGCGGGAGGAGGCGAAGATGGGTCGGGCATCGTGCCCTATGAATTACAACAAATCCAGTCAGTGGTCTAAAAGATAATAAACCCAGGGATATAGATCCATACTCACGCTCTATCTGCTCCGGCTTGAGTGTAGGGGTGAATAACTGGTGAAAGACGGGTCGGTGTGATTCCAGTCAAAATCGCTAGGTCACCGCACACGTGCATCTTCGGAGAAGTGACTCCTTTCACATTCATATTTACCTTGACACTGCAGCACGAACATCGATCGACCTGGACACCGGGTTAATAACCTTATATGCTTCGGCGGCCAATTTTATGTATTAGGCATGACCTCGAACATCCCTCCATCACCAATATACGTCGACTCTCACTCTAAACCTTCACCAAGACTCTCACATGCACATGAACCAACGTAACCATTGCCTATTGCCTACCTGCCTCCAAATTATTCGTGTTCAAATCTTATCATCATATTCTCTTCGGGTGTCATCACAGTCACTATCGTCCAATTTCTATCATCATCGCATCATACGAAGTCAACCACAAGCCCCGTCGAATTCCCTCCTAGCAATGACCAGCCTCACTCCCACTGTGATGTGTCTTCAAGCGCCCGAATCACGCACTTCCTGTAATGGGCGCCAAAACCCTGCACTAGCCCCAAACTTAGATCTAGGACATCCCATTCACTCAGCCGATCGTATTTCGAATATGCAAGCAAGATATTGCCTGAGCATCGAAGGCACATATTTAGCCTTGATGATCTGGCAATCCGCGAATCCTTCTCCCCCCTAGCGCAATAATTTCGCTCGATCCTGTTCAAGGGTTCATGATTACCTGATGCCTGAAATTTCGCTAATCAACAGGATAGTATCTGGGCCGCCCGCAAAAGAAGTGACGAGATCCCTCATTGGTCATCCCCCCGACCTATGCCAGAGCTCAGCTCGCCCATTGCAGCAAAATCAGGTTTTATCGGAGACGAACCGATACACGCTAACGGACCCAGATTTCACTGATCCCAGACCCTTGCGGAAGCGGAGCCATATGCCTGGCCTAGGGCTGGGCCAAGCCGGCTACTGTCTTGAAGGGGTTACATGGAAATCAAAGTTGTGGCAGATCAACGATGTCTAGAGTTGGGCGAGTTTAAACAGAGTAATCAAGCCTAGCACACCTGAACGGGGGTGCGAAGAAGTGCAATGTACGTAGGTAGCCTGTGAATCGGGGTTGTACCAGAGCCGAGTTCCTCAGTGTATGCGAGGGGGATATAATCATTCGAGAATGACTCAGAGAGGCAAGGAAGATCCGGTGATTATTCCTTTCACAAATGTACACTGCGCGTCATCGCAAATTCTGCTTTTCCATAACGTATCCGTAACTCCGCATTCTGTACAAATTACTTGTAGATTCTCAATCTAAGTTATTCAGAACCAGAACACGTACATAATTCCATGCTTTGATCAGATTATGCATAAAATAATCAGCTGCCCAGACACTTGGCGATTCTCATGGCGCGTTGCTCTTGTGGCTTTACTTCCCAACCACCACCACCTTGATGCACCTAGCACCCCTCTTTTCATTCTTCGGTCTCTCCTGGCATATCCCCGCTTTGCCTTGCGTGTCATTTCAACAAACCACGGCTCGGGATACCATTGCTGAGTCGACCACTAATATTGTTGACAGCCAGACCCTTGCAAGAGGTGGAGATCATTGCCGTCAAGGTATTTTGTGCTGCCACTTCCTTGTTGAATTAGCCATTCTCGCCACACTAACTATCAACTCGGCTTTGCAGTTA